CGATTGTAATTCTTCGAAGTGTAACGAGATCTTCTCACAAAATAGATCGAAATCGAAAAACCTTTCCATTCGCATTCATAACTCACGAATCGCAAATAATCTCGCAAAAAAAGATTCTCTCATAGATTATTTTTTTCCTACTTTAGCATTAGTAGTATCCAATTGTTGGGAAGTCTTCACGGTGATTACTGGATCTTTTCGATAAGCTAAACCGCAAAATGTTATTCTTCAGCTTCTCAAAAGCTTAACTATAGCTCTGACGACACCCAGCATCTCTAACTGGTTCAGCCGGCCTGCGTCGAGAGAAACCGACGATTAGGGAATTTTTCAAGAAAGTCAGCTGTTAATGCGCAGTCATATTCTTAGGTGGCATGTAGTTGCCGTACATTTGAATGTAGCAGACATCAGTGTCCCTTCTTGATCCTTTACGAGCGAATGCCCCTCTCGAAAGACACTATTCCCTTTTCTGAAAGAAAGGGTTATATCGCAGAAAATACGCTGACCAAATGCAAAAAGTTTGTCCGCCTCATCCAATCAAAAAGCAGGAAAGAATAATTCATTGACACCGCGATTCTCAAGGGAGTGAAAAGCTCGGTCATAGGTATTCGAGGTCGTAGATCACGAATCCGGTGTCCAATCCGAGATATAGTCAATAACTAACTAATAATCCGTCAGTAATTAATTAATCTTCTGACAAATACGTCTCACGACGTCGAAAAAACTTGACCAAGAGTAATCGGGGGCGAGGAATTCGAATCTGAGGTTAGTTCCCTTTTCTGAAAGAAAGGGTAACATGGCGAAAAATCGCCGGCTAAAATGTAATAAGTTTGTTTGTCTGTCTGTCTGTCTGTCCAAGCCAATCAGAATTCAGCACCCCTCCTTGCGAGAAAAGCCTACTGCCCGCTTGGCGACAAGCTTGGCCAACAGGTAATCAGGGACGGGGAGTTCGAATCTGAGGTCAGTTTTGGGATATTAATGATTTAATAATCAGTTAATAACTAGTTAATAATTAATATTATTATTTTTGGAGAAAGTTTGATCAAAGGATAATCAGGGGCGGGGAGTTTAAATCTGAGGTTACTTTCACGATATTTATTAAATTAATAATCAGTTATTAATAAATATTATTATTTTCCGAGAAACTTTGATCAGAGGGTCATCGAGGATGGGGAGTTCGAATCTGAAGTTAGTTTCACAATATTATTAGGTTAATAACTAGTTAATAATCAGTTAGTAATAAATATTATTAAGTTTTGAAAAAGTTTGACCACATGGTAGTCGAGAGTGGGGAGTTCGGATCTGAGGTTAGTTTTACAATATTAAATGGATCGTTAATCAGGTAATAATTAATATTTTTGCCTGCTTGTGTCTTCGTACTTCGATAATTGATCGAAAGAGCATTTACAGAGGATGATGTCTCGGGGGTCAGAAAAACATTCACTCAGGGTAACTTCCGGAGTCGGAAAAAGCAGTCTTTCAGTGTGTGGGTGTGAAAAACAATCGAAGACTTACGCACCCATACTCACATCCTCAACCTACTCTTCTTTTTAAAATTTCGAATATCACGAGCTATGTACTTGGTTAATCACTCGGTAACACAGAGTCCACGAGAAGGAGCTGAGCGAGTCCTCAGACGAGGGTTACTTGTGAGATAACTCTGGCGTATATTCGATACAAGTTTACTGGAGCACCTAAAGACGAAGACTAAAATGACAACCAATAGTGGCAACACGAGCTTTTTTCTTTCGATGAGTGAAAGCATAGGTGATGATAAAGGTCTGAGTAGAATCTCAAAAACAATCTCTGTTGATACTTGAGCCGAAAACATTTGATCCCAAAGCGACTCCTTTTCGACGAGCGTTACTGACTTATATGGAGTTTGTGCGAAAGATTCTTAATAGAGGAGAAGCTTCAGTATGTGATTGATTTTGCGAAGCCAGTGTTCGACTTATGGAGACCAGGTGATAAGGCATTTGGTGAGCAGAGTGAAGAGGAGTGAACATTGAGAGATAGCAGCGGCGAGTCGGCAGTGGCGGACCGACGAGTCGCTGCGGATATAACTTTGCACCACAGAGATGCTCGCAGCTGGTCTCGAAAGACTTCATTGACACACTCATGGAGTCATTTGGTACGACTGTAACAGTGCAGAAACTACCGAACTTGCGACACCACAGGTGCTCAGGAAAATGCGTCTTCTTCGCTTTTTCATTCTATTTTGGGTATCGTCTCATTGACTGATGCAACTGATGTCACTAGATGTGGCTGGTTTCCAAGAATTTAGACACCAATTGGAAATCAACAGGAAACCTGAGGAAACCAAGTGAAAACCTACTGCGTAAGGGTCATACTATTCCCTTTACCTTCGCCCTCATTTGGTTTCCACCTGGTTTTCCTTTTGGTTTCTATAGGTTTCTACTTGGTTTCCAAAGTACAGTAGAACCTCCCATAGTGGACACCTCCATACACTGGACACCTCCTTATAGTGGACACTTTCAGATCTGACGGAGTGATTTTTGCTGTAAATAAACTTCTGTATAGTGGACACTCTCTATAGTGGACACTTTTCTATAATGGACGCTTTTGAAAGTCCCATCTGTTAGCTTTTACTAGAAATTAACCTCGCTAAAGTGGACACCGTCATACACAGGGTGGTCCAAAAGTCACTTCAGCGAGACAAAAAGTGAGTAGCTGTCTGACCTGACGGTTCGATCGAACATTCTCATTTTTTTCACTAAGGGTAAAGTCATATTTATACTCCGAATCCAGCCGGTCAGGATTGATAAGAAGTTTTGTCGACGAGAACAGTTATTTCGCGCACCTGCCACATGCTACATATTTCTTTTCGAGATCAGTAATGGCACTCGGTAACAGTTCTCGGTAACCTTGACCGGCTGGATTTGGCGTAGAAACATGCCTGAAAATGAACGTGTTCGGTCGAACAGTTAAATAACTGATTAATTTTTGTCTCGGCAAAGTGACCTTTGACCCACCCGTATTTACATGCGATGCATACATGTTCAGTCTGGTATTGTTCACTACGAAGATATGACCATACATCAGCAAATAAATCTTCTACGAGCAAGACAGAGGATTTTTCTCTATAACCGGCGGACTTTACTCAGCTTTCTGTTGCGTACGCCAGCACTCTTTGAAGACCTTTGTAACATTTAAACGGCGTACAGAAGTTTGTCCTACGTCGATGACTAACTGTGTTCTGTGGCCAATATGAACACATGAAAGAGTGACTTAATAAAACAGTAAGTTCAACTACCTTGTAGGATACTCATCAATAAAGGTATGAGGAATTCTTCCTTCTCGTTTTCTTTGTCCTGAGAAACTCTCAAGTAGAGATCGACGGGAGACTATGACAGACAGCAATCAAAAAGCGTCACTACGGCGAGAATATATGTTGTGAAAGAAACTATTATATGCTAACAAGAAAATATCCATAACTAAAACTAGTGTCTTGTCTGCAACTGATGTAGTAACTTCAGATTCTAGAAGACATTGTAGAAAACTCGAAGAAAGTTTCAGCTTGATCTGTGTAAACTAACGGCCCTATCGTTTCTGTTCAGTGATCGGTTGCTATGATAATCTATGAGCACTGCTACTGAATGACTGGGTTTGAAGCAAGTATTTCTAGCGATGACAGACGTAATCGGTAACATCCGGCAGTGGTGGATAGGGGGGGACGCAGACGACTGACTGCAAAAATGCTTTTACGACTTTTCCGAGAAAAAGTTGTACTAAAGGACTACGATCGCTGTCAATCACGAGAGCGATGGTAATGATCCTGCAATATAGCTGTTGGCTCAAACAGCGGCTAGGAGGTGACAATTGTGCTACCTTGTATTCTATCGATCGATGTACTCTTACTCTTCATGCATATCTGAGAATCATAAAACTCCGTTCAAGAGAAAATTTGGATGCAGCTATTCGTTTTTTTTCACTGAGTCGAACTGAGAGAGAGAGATAAGGCTAATTATCAGTCAAATCTGCTACTTTTTGGGTGGTTTGTTTCATTGAGATGATAGTAGTCAGTCGAGTGTTAAGTGAGTCGTCGCCGATGAATTGTGCTCGGAAACGATCGCGAAACATTCAATGGCGAGTTCTTTGGATTGTCTGACACGATTGTCGAAGTTCAGAAACTGTCGAACTTGTTGCACCACGAGTACTCAAGAAAGAACGCCTCCATTGCTTTTTCAAAACTTCTTTCTAGGCATCGTTTCATTGATCCATGTAAGTGTCATCTGACCTATCGAAAAATTTAGGATGCTGGCATAAGATATTCTGAACAATTAAACAGAGTGACAGATTAACGAAGATGCGCATAGTACAGAAAAAAGGGAGTAGAGAGAAGGAAGATAGAGTGATATCAACCACTCACTGTACTGTGTGATCGACATGGACATCAGAGAGTGTCTTTTTTAAAAGTAGTAGCTTCAACCATCCTATCGAATACTCATCAATCAACGAATAATGGATTTCTTTGTTTCGTTATCGTCGTTCTCAAAAACTCTGAGACAGGGAGTTTAGAAGACAATGATAGGCAATGATGAAATAGTATGATCAAGGCGATGAAGTGTGGCTAAGACGACAGAAATCTACACGAACAAGAAAACAATCCGGAATAAAATAAGCGTTTTGTCTGAAGCTGAACTCATAGTCTCAATACCTATGACGTTTTGCAGAAGATGCAAGGAAAATGTTAGCTAGTGCTGTGTAAACCATCGGTGCTATCATTTCCTGTCCAGTGATTCAGATCTTCGACAATCGACGACTATCGCTATTGAATGCGTGACTTAGGAGAGAACTTTTTGCAAAGACATATGTAGTGCGCGACCTCCGGCAGTTGGAAGTAGTAGACTGAAAGAACGCCGAAGACTGACTACCAAGGGGTTCTTGTCATTCTTCAAACGGAAACTTGAAGTGAATGGCTATGAGACGTAGTCAGCCATCGGACCAAGAGAAGTGATCCTGCAAAATATGCGGTCGCTCAGTTAGGTGTAGCATGATGAAGTTTGATCCCAAAATGCTGATTGAGTGGTTTGATCATCGGCGTGAAATGTCCACTGTTGTCTCGATGCAATCAGTGGCCATTGCGAAGAAACACTCCATCTCAACTGATGCACTTGTTCAGCGAATGATGAAGAAAGAACTAGAAGTTTCTTCCGTTGAACTTCTAATGGATCTTGATTGATGCCGATCACTTCCGGATTGGAATAGATCGCTAATGTTGTCTTGCTCATCTTTCGAATATCCGTTCCAATGATCAATGGAGATTTATTCATCTACCAGAGAGAAAAATAGGATCGATCTTCATCATCGCTCATCTTCTGATATCCCAATCTTAACACTACAAAGAATCGAACATGAGAAGGAGCAAGGGCGCGACGAGATCTTCCTTACTATCTGGATCATTCCATCCTCCAGGTTCTGCATTAGCCGCATATTAATTGTTCTAAAGTCGATCGATTCGATTCGATGTAAAGAAAATTTGTTTTCGCTCGCACTTGATCAATTGTGTCAATGATAGAATCCCACGTATCGCCAATATCTCCCGTTGTTCTCCAACTATTTCCAACATTCGTTGCCCACAGTGCTGGTTGATCAACCCCCCATTCTATTCCGAGTGACAAATCCTCCCGATGCAAACCAGAGAAGAGAAGATCCGATCAACAAACCGCAGAGAGAATAGAAAATCGCTCGACCAGTTTCATTCAGTGTATCGCGCATAATTGGATATCGAACTTCCGGTTTTGTTCCGTCGGTATTACAGTTATCGTATTTCAGATAGTCGATCTTCCATTCCGCATACTTCAGAGCATCTTTCCTTTCGTAACCTAACGAACCAAGTCGATCAGCACACGTTTTATATCCCGCATCTACTCAAATCCCCATCCTTATTCTTTACCATCATTCTCACTCTCTCTCTGTCTCTGTCTCACCTGAATAGAGATCAAACTTCAATCCTTTGGAATGAACATAAGAGATCAATGAAAGAATTCCATTTGGAAAGACGTTCGGATCTTCGACGATATTTCCATTGGCATCACGAGAGATTTGCCAACAATCATCCAAATTAACTATCGAAGAACAATGATTGACGGATGAGATGCGAATGACAGCAGATCTCAGGGAACGAACTATATTCATAACCCAGATTGGCTAAGCCAGTGGCGATCAGAATATCCACACTGGATTTGATCATCTGATCGGTGTAATTGCACCAGAAGTTGTACCAACTATCCCAACCTAGTCGAATCGATCGATCGAGCCATTCACAGATCGGATGACAGAGCAATCTGATTCAAACCCATCTGTGGTGTTCTTCCCAGACCATTGTTGATTCCATTCGATGAAACAATGCATATCCAAACGATGGCCAATGTCAGGATCGTTCGCATTTCCCCGTCTTCGAAGATATCTGTCCCTGTCAACCCCTCGAAGATGAATTTATCTTCTGTTGTTTCATTGCTAGAAGAGAAATGATACGAAGAGTGTTCTATCTGTCTTTATCTCTGTGCATTTACATCGTGAAGGCTTTTCTCCACGTAATAGGATCGTGAGTGTTTCAATCTCCGTAGAACCACGTGCTTTTCGCTCTCAATTTCCCTACGTTACCTACTTCATTTACAGAAAAATTCATAGAATTTCGCTTGATAAAAAAATTCAGGACTCAAAGGGTTATACTGTGTGGGTTGGAGACACTGACCTCACCCATGTTCGAAGCCGCCAATACCTGCAGAGCCTTTCAGTGCGGCTTTAGGATACATAAGTTCTTCTTCTAACGAAGATTTCGTTAGCTAGCGTGATTCACTACTCCCCCTTCTCTTCTGTTATGAGCACAGAAGAGCAGCTTTCCCTTACTCTTTATGTCTTCGAGCCAGTAACTCTTTTGTTTCACCCTCATCTGCTTACTGTGTCTTAACAGGTGTCTAGAGTTTCGAACATGCATCAAACGAGAAAACACATTTGCACTGTCATTATGTTAGAAACGGTACGTCAAAACAGCAATGAATAATACATTTAGATACTAAAAGAGATTATTTGCGTCAAGAGAAAAGAACATGCGATGACAAAAGACAGTTATCACTACTAACTCATTTGACCGGTATAACTGCTTCCTCTCTACTTTGCAAATACTGCTTATCTACCTTCTCTTTTTTCTTCCTTATCTTCTCCTCAATGCGTCAGCAGAGCAAGAACTCACTTCTTTTTTTGTCGACCACACTTGTTTCACCGTATGGCATCTCCCAAGTTCGAATTACTTACCACAGACGATGAAGCAGCATTCAATGTCGTAAGTTCCTATCTCTCTTTAAGCATTCTAAAGCAGGCATACCTGTCTCTAGAACACGGAAGGGATCGTTGCTGCTCTTTGCGAAAAATACCCCGACGTACCAGCAACTTTTCAACCAACAGCGACGGGTGTGGAAAGGGAAATAGGATTTCATGGCATTCTTTACAAATTTCAGGTAAGAATGTAGATGTTTCATTCATGAACGATTACGATTACCATGTAGGTGCCATTGTCCAACGGATAAAATGTAACAGTTGTCTGGAATGACAATTGTTTAGGCAATAAGCCGACAACGGTGATCATGTAAAGGCGATGAGTAAACGGTACAGTAGTGTGCTGCTTTTATTGTGGCCCGTAGATAATTTATTACAATAAAGGTTTGTGCTCCTGAGTTTGGCCAGTGATCACATTTCCAGCGAATATTGCTAGACTGATTAAAAAACAAAAATATTAAATCAAAAAAGTAAAGGACAATGATTCAAAGAAGAGGACTGTGCTCCATCTATTATACGTAGACAATTAACTAACAGTTGCAGTTAACCCTTCGAAGCTCTTCGCATTTTTTTTACACGAAAGACTTTTGTGGGTCCAGTTGAACCCACACTTGAATGAATACAGGAAATATAATTTTGATGAGGATTTCGTGTCCGAATGGATGTGTCGTTGCTACTGAATGATTATCCACCCGTATTCATTTCCAGAGCAAGAGATCGTTTCTTTCGAGTGAACAGCGTAATGCACGTATGGAATGCACTGGACATAGAAGCATATCATCGATTACATTGTGCTACATTGCATCAATGCACACGTCATGAGAAACGCATCGCTGAAATCATCAAGGATTCTGTTGAAGCACCTGTAGTTCTACAAGAGAAGCGGTGGAATGTGAAGGTGATGTACCCATGTTATGTTTTCGATCGTGCCTTCGTCGTGAACTTCCAAGATCGTTTTCATAAGTGTTGGAATCACTTCTATCGATATCCAGGATCTCCAATGCGACTGGTTGATGTCAGCTTGACAGCTGAAACTAATCGAACATTGGAACATTTCTTGATCAAAAAGAAGCCTCCATTTTTGTAGTAACACCTATTTTCCATCCATTTTTCCGCCAAATATTTTCATTTCTTCCCTATTGTCTCGACTTCGAAGGCCGGGCGCAGAAATTTCTATATGCCCCTGGATAGCGCGAGAGAAGAGCTATCGAATGAGCTATTCAGTGTTCAAAAAGTGCCACTAACAAGGTGTTTTCTAGGGCCTGCAAGATGTGTCACTATCTCATGGAAATCCATGTTTTCCGTACAAGTATTTCCATGGTCGAAATTTTAATAAATTATTACTTGAGTTTTTTGGATAGTTGATATAGTTTCCTCTCAACCTCTGTTTTTGAAAATAATTCTACATCTTTTTTGGCAAAAAATTGCAACTTTTTTTTCTATCAAATATTATTTCAAAAATAGCAGAATACATTTTAGTTACAATTATAAAGAGTAATGACAAAAGATATATCCGTCATCATTATTATAGTTGACGGTAATGGAAAAAAATAAAAGTTGAACAATATGTTGATCAAATGAAAAAGAAATCAGTAGGAAAAAAATTAACTTTCATTTAGCTATTTTCTTTTAAATTTGACATTAATGAAATAGTACACACACTATACATACATGTCAGGTTGTTTGTTGTCTTCTATGCTAGCCCTTTTATTTCTTATA